TTGTAATTCCTCCAACTCCAAAAACGGAGGAAAAACGATCGTTCATCGAAAAGACATCCGCACTCTTCATTTAGATCCAGGCTAGCCGCGAAACTAGATCAAAGATTTAAGTTTGTCTGCCTAGACCTAGATCTAGACCATAGATCTAGAAGAACCTAGGTCTACCCTGAGCCAAGAGGGCGCTCGAAACTCTCCGAAATCACAAAAGAGTTCCCTTACCGGGTCTGTATACTTTGTGACTTTGTTCCCGGTTACCGGGTCTGTATACACTCCCTTAGCAAAATTGCAGTACGTACCGTACATTTTTATTACCTATTTTATTTTTAACAAAACTAAATTATGATTCTGCCGATCACACCTTTCATCAATAATACTTAAAAACTTTGTTGATCTGACTCAATAGATTTCAATATTGTCAATAGGCCTAAATATTAATGAACGGTGTAGCTGATCAGGTAGGCACGAAGACTCACACAGCACCCCCTCCCCCTCTGTCCTTCCACACACACTCCCAAAAATCGTGATTTGCGATTGCCATGACAATGCATGTTTGATGTTCGCAAGTGTGCTACGAAATGACTGTCTCCATTCAACAATGTGGATAGGGTATGACGAGATGACTGACGTATTGACTGCACCGGTGTGACGAAATGACTGGTGGTATTCATGCTGTACATGTTGTAGACTGGCTGATTTCACAAGTAAGCCTCGTGGATGCTTGATTTGGCCAGTTAGGCCTATTTATAATTTTGAAGATACTCTGTTGGTCTTCACTTGTCAAACCAGAATTAGAATAGTCTTTATCGCAGTTGTATATGGTCGCTTTTAACATTTACAGTACCGTGTCGCCGGCCCGTAATTTCCGTTCGGTACCGCTGGCGACTGTCGCCGACTCGACCAGGCACACGAAACAACGAACAGAACTTCTCCACGGAAGTAAATATCAAGGGGAATCACTCTATTAGTTTTTTAAAAGTTTTAGTAGAGGTTTTACGGCACTCACAACTGCATAAGGTCATATGAGCGCCAGAAGATTAGGTGTTACAAGAGAGTAACAAACATAAAAATGAAGAAGGGGAAATAAGGACGATAGATGTTTGATAGGAAAGAAGCAAACCACACCAGAGCACCCGCCAACCACCCACGAATCACTCTATGTGATAGCTGAATCGTTGATGTAGCGCTTTGAATTTATTAAGCTCGTTTCTTGAGCTGTGAAGGTTTTTTTTTTTTTTAAACATAAAAAAAAAACTACCATGACATCAGCGTTCCCAGATCGCTATTCTTAAATTCTTCATCTAGAAATTCAGGTGGGCGTGCCTGCCCTCTCCAAACAGAATGGGAGTTTTATCATGATGTCTATGTCACAAAAGAGGTTTTTCTATAAAGTACGTTTATTTCTGAATACATCTTAAAAGTCTCATGTAATTCTGTCAATGACTTTTGTTTAAATAGATTTTTTTGTAACGTACCCTAATTATTTTGTTGGCTTCTAAATCGGTGCGGTACTCAAGGATTTTTCACTTTATGACCCTGCGGTACTGTAAATGTTAAGGACAAGTGCGCTAACCCAGATTTCGGGGTTTTCCAGAAATCTTGACCTACACCAAAAATGGGCGTTGCCCTACCTATAAAAGTTAGGTTTCATTGGTGTGTATAATTATTTAGTTAAAGAGAAGACTCTCTTTGTTTTTGTAAAGAAACTAAGCAAGGGACAAAAACTTAACCTTCGATTTTCTCAAAACAGCGTTTTTCGGGATAGTTCCCTTGTGCTTAACGACCATATATTGAAAGGGATGAAGAATAGGCCGAGTTATATTACATACCACATTGTGTTGTTATTGAAAGACGTTTTGCTGGTTTCAAGTAGTGTTGGACAACTGAATACACTGTTGTTGAGTTAAAATTTACAGTGAATTGGCTGAGACTTATAAGACGGGTTGGATGGAAGGGGGGAGCGTGTGCATTATCAGGAGGGCTGGCTCCCTGATTTCTTGAAAGTAGT